CAGAAATGCAGTTTCTAAATAAATATGGATCTTTATTTTCTGATCTGTTGGTTGCTTGTGCTTTGGAATTCTGTGTTTATTTGTGAGTATGTTGTGTAAGTTGTATATAAGGAAACTTCAGCAATGCTTCCAAGGAAGTTTTGAGGAAACCTAAAATACTAAAAAAAAAAATTGTGCTGTTTCCATGATGTCACAAAGAAAATCTTTTTTTTTGACAAAACACAGAAAAAGACCTGCAAAGGATCTGGCCATTGATTAAAAAGATATTCTTAAGGTCATTTTGAGGCAAAAGCAGGCTTTAGCAAGCCCTAAAGAAGACCCTCTCTTCTGTTTCAGTCTGATAAAGTGGCACACCACTAGCAGAATGGTACAGAAGTATGTCAAGACAACAGCAAATAAAATAAAATACAGTTTGGTTGGTCTCCATTTCTCTGAAAATGGGTCAAATCACATTCCCTGGAACACAAGTCTTAGAAGTGTTTGGATTTGGGGTTTTTTAAACCCTGCCAACCTAGCGGTTCGAAAGCATGCAAATGCGAGTAGATAAATAGGGACCACCTCGGTGGGAAGGTAAACAGCATTCCGTGTCTAAATCACACTGGCCATGTGACCACGGAATGCACCGGCCGCCCTGCCCTGCCTTCCTGCCGTCGCCACGCCTTCGGGGCCGCCCGGGAAGTTTGTGCCGCCCGGCAGAGCTGGAGCCTCTTCGCCGGGAGCGCCGTCGGCGGGGAGGACGCGGGAAATGGTCGCCGGCTGCCGATCTGGGGAGCCCCTTCGCCCGCCCCGGAGTGGCGCCTTGGTCTGCGCGGCCCTGGCGCTCAGCGCTTGGCACCGGGCGCTCCTGGACTGGCTCAGGCAAGCAGGCAAGCTCCCCCGCCCCACCCGGCGACGTCCAGGCCCTTACGGAACCACCTCCTCCCTCCGCACCTCTCGTACCGCTGGAGCCCGTGCAGGGAGCTCTCTTGACCCTCCGGAGGTCGCCGGTTGCATCCCAAAAAGAGGGGCCCCAGCTGACATGGCCTTTGTCTGGCTAGCTCAGCCAGGGCTAGAATGCCCCCCAACATCACCTGCACCCATGCCACAGAAACCGGGGCCCCAATCCAACTCCTTTGGTCCTACAAAGTCCCAAACCAGAAACCGACCCACTGGAGCAAGTAGCAATCCCCGTTCGCGGAGGTCGCCGGTTGCATCCCAAAAAGAGGGGCCCCAGCTGACATGGCCTTTGTCTGGCTAGCTCAGCCAGGGCTAGAATGCCCCCCAACATCACCTGCACCCATGCCACAGAAACCGGGGCCCCAATCCAACTCCTTTGGTCCTACAAAGTCCCAAACCAGAAACCGACCCACTGGAGCAAGTAGCAATCCCCGTTCGTCCTAGCTGTGGGATCAGCTTTTTGTCCTTTTCAGGAGATTGGGTGATCAGGGTGTTTTTTTGTTATGGGTGTATTGTTGTGATAAGGGGGGGAGAGATCATCTGTCACTGTGATTGATGGGTGTTGTTAACTAGTCTTTTCTGTGCAGTGATCACAAGTCCTTGTGGCTGGGTAGAGTTCGTTGACCATCTTACTTAGCCTTGCCAACTGGGTTATGGTGGCCACGGGGAGGAGAGTGAGGCCGATATGACACAAGTCTTCCCTGACTTTGAATGAACCATGGGCATGTCATGCCCATCACTTCCCTGCAGCAGGCAGCCCAAAAATTGCATACTGGATTCAGCACCAAGGCTCATTGAAATAAAATTATACGCAGAGCCTTTCTGCGCAGTGGGTTTTCAGCATTCCTGCAGCGTGGCCAGAGGTGAGCCCTGCTGGAGAAGGCGCATCATAGCACAAGACTTCTAGAAGGCCAAAGAACTTCGACCCTGCAAAGGAAATAGACTGGCAGGAGACTCAGGTCAAAAATGGGAATCCCCCCCCCAAAAAAAACCCGCATAGTTTGCTTAAGGACCTCACACCCCCAGGATATATTTGTGGCTTTAGAAAGGGCTAAATAAGATCACAAGGATTCCTGGGGATGTCTCCCATGTGCCATGACCAGCGATACTGCCGTTGTTCAGCACGTGCGACTTGGGGTGACCTATCATTTAGGGGGAAGGGGGAGAAAAGTGTCCTTCTGCTCGTGGAGAGACACCGCAAGAATTCACTTCAGATAAAGAGGTTAAGGTAGAGGTGTCACACTCGATTTCTTCTTGGGCCGCATCGACATTATGGTCACCCTCAAAGGGTGGGTTTGACCATGCCGCCCCGAGTAGACATGGTCTAGAGGGGCGGGGTAAAAATCAAATGAATAAATAAATGAAATAAATAAATTGTATCTGTAAGACTATCACTGTATCTACTCTTTATCATATCAAATCTAATCCTCCTCATTCAATTATCACTTTCTGACTCTTCACTGCTGGGAATGCTGGGATTAGAAGTCCCACTGGGTGGATTTCCAGCATCCTTTTGGAGCATTATGGGTGACCAAGTCAGCTCCTGCGTATTGTATGCTGCACCATTGCAGGCAACACTGCGAGGGCCACATGAAACGGCCCAGTGGGCCAGATTCGGCCCATGGGCCTTGAGTTCGACATGTGTGGGTTAAAGGGTCACGTTTAGGGGAAGGTGTAGGACACTGTCTGTTCTGGGACTCCCATGGCCGCTGCCACCTTCTTGCCATGATCTTCAGCACGTGGGAAACTGAGGCAGGAGGTGGTGGTACCACTGGTGCGGAGAGATCAGCTTTGATTCAGCTCTTCCTTGGCAGTCCTCCGGCAGCTACCAGCCGGTCTCCCATCGAGGGAGAGAGTTGAGACCTTGCTGAACTTCAGCAACAGAATAGCACCCCATGTCTCAGGTCACCAGCCTCCCACCCAGTAGTATTACCTTCCCAAAGCAGTAATGTTATGGGTGTACATTTATCTGTTCTCCAAACTTTGTAAACAAATACTTTACAGAACCTGAAACATTTCAGTGTAGTATGCAGTTCCAGTCATAAACCGTCACTTGATAATAAAATGTTTCATGGTCTATAAATTCTTAAAAAGTTAAAAAAAGTTCTGAGAACTCGTTCGCCGGAGGTTTCATCCACAGGCGAGACCGCCTCCCTTGGTCCTGTTATACATGTTGCACAACGAAGCTGTGAGATTCATTTTCAGAACTGAAACAAAATCTAAAAATCAAAAACACGGTCTGCAATAGTGCGCAATTTTTAGTTGGTCCGAATAAAGACCAACTGCCCACTTGTGTATGGGGGGGGAGAGAGAATAGATTTTTTTTAAAAAAAAAGTCGAGTTCAAGATGGTTACCTCCATTTTATATGTTTTGGAATGATGGTTGGAAAGTTTTCCAGAACCTCCTCCCAAATCAATGGATACCATTGATTTTAAAAAAAGGGGGGGGATGTCACATGCTACTTTTACTTCATCTATTAAGTATCTGCCAGTACTTCGGGTCCCAGAAACAGCAGTGTTCAAAATGGGCGCAGCTGGGTCTCACGCCCCTCCCAAGTAATAACAAGAGAGACCAAATTCCATGTCAAACAAGTATGTTTATAGCAAAAATAGGCTTTTACTTTCTTCCCCAAACAATGTTGTCTTCCCTCCCCCCAAAAAAACATTTACACAGTAAACAGGTCAGCTGCTGCCGTGTGCTGAGCCAGCTCCCGACCCCCCCCCCCCCGGTGTCCTGACCCATCA